TTAGGCTCAAGCTGTAAGAGAAAATTCCAATTAGAAAAGAAATTAATTTGAAAAATTACCTTGACATTTCGATAGCTACAGGAGGAAATTCTGTCTTTTTTAAAGACAACAAATTTTGAGGCGAAATACCCACAAAGAAGTTGGTAAAAAAACCCAATAATTTGATCGATTTTTTTACAGAACCACACACAATAGTATCAAGCGACTCATGTCTCATTGTTTTGTGTTTTAGTTTCAAAGCACCCATTAGCCGAGCAAAAATCATTAATTAACCGATTGTTTTTCTCCTTTTTGTTTTCGTTTTCTCGTCTGGACGTGCAGAAAGCTTCGTGGACAGAGTGTTGACCATAGGTTAGATTATCACCACATTTACTTCAGTGTGTTTGATTTCCTTTTTCTTGCTTCGTTGTCGATGTCCCCTAGCGATTTGCCTCTTCAAGCTTGACTCTGCACACTGCACACACTTGTGTTTAAGGAATGCATGCTCTTCTTGTCTAGTTTGCTTTTGCTTTTGCTTACGATCACTTACAGGCATTTTTCTATTGCGTTTACTGGCACTACAAGGGGGCTAAAGTTGATTTTTTTTATGCTATTAGACCGCCCTTAGACTTATTACAGTCACCACAATGAAATAATAGCTCGCCAGCTTTAGCCCTCTTTGTTATGCCCCAGTCTCACACTAACCTGCGGCGTAATTTGCAGCAGCACAGCAGACCACAAGGACTTCCACACCAAGAGCGTGGAGAACGACACACCCTTCTTGTACTGCTTACTGAGCCAGCCGGATGGAAAGGTAAGCGGCCGGGCTTCATCTTCTTCTTCATCAAGTGCCTCTAATCCTCTTCTAGCCTCTTTCATGTCCTCCGGCCATGAGGCTGGTGACGACCTACCGCAACGGGCAGGCCAAGCGCTACTTGCTCAGGGGCGACTCAGAAGGATCGGTGCTGCTGTGGGCCATCCCGGATATTTCCACCGCTCAACTCGAGGCCATCAGGTGCGATTGAAAGTGTTTTTAACCAATCGCAAGGCTTATTGCTGCGTGTTTTGTGGGGTTTTCAGGGCTCAGGCGCCTTCGCAGCCAGTTACTGCAGCCGCCACCCTTACGACCAGCCTGACGAAGGCGTGGAGTTCGGTGCGCCCAGATCCAGTGGGCGCTCTGGACCAGGTGGAGCGTCAAGAGCGCCAATGTAGGTTTTAGGACGTGAGGCCTGGCTTTAGGCATATATATTTATGTATATATTTACTTATCCTTTGGATGTTGCAGCCATCAAGCTGACCGCCAGCATTTACCTGCCGCTGCAGAGCCGCCTGGTGGTGGGCCGGGAGGACGGCACCATTGTTATCGTGCCGGCCACGCAGACTGTCATGCTGCAGCTGCTGCATGGGAACCATCAGCAGTACCACAGTAAGGCGCCCGCTTGGGTCGATTTTAACAATTTATTTTGTTTGCGCCCCCATGCACGAGCGAAATATCTGTCGTATCTCATACGCGGCGAGCCAAGCCTCTCTCACAATGGGTCCGCAGCCCAGGTACTGCGGGACACCCACAGCCAGTACCCGCCTACTAGCGTTCTCTCTCACAATGGGTCCAGAGCCCA